ATACAATTCTCCCCCAAGGAGTTCAGTTACAAATGTAATTAACACATTATTTTTTTAACAAGTGTCATCAGCATGGAAGCCTGTCCTGGACAGGGCTGGCTCCAGCATTTTTGCCGCCCCAAGCGGCACACAAAAAAAAAAAAGCCGCGATCAGCGGCACTTCGGTGGCAGCTCTACCACCGCCGCTTCATTCTTTGGCGGCAATTCAGCAGCAGGTCCTTCCCTCCGAGAGGGACTGAGGGACCCGCCGCCGAATTGCCGCCGAAGAGCCATATGTGCTGCCCCTTTCCGTTGGCTGCCCCAAGCACCTGCTTGTTGCACTGGTGCCTGAGCCGGCCCTGCCTCTGGAATGATGGCTGAAGCATGAAGAGGCATATGTCTACACTGCCATGTTTTTTCACACATTTGAGTGAGAAAGTTTCAGCACTGTAAAGTGGCGGTGTAGACAAGGCCTTAGCTTCCTAGAGGTGATCCATCCAGGTCAGGGTGAGGCAATGTGATAAAGATTGCTGCCAGCTGTGCTGCAGTTGTCCTGTGGATAAATAGAGGAACTCAATCTCCAATGCGGTCTACTAAATTCAAACAAAAGTTTTTATTCATTCTTTTTTTTCAAAGTTCTCTCCCCCCTATTGCATATGTAGCTAAGGAGCAGAGTAATGAAGAGACAAACAGGTAGTACTGGTGACATGGGTTGGAAGCCTCACCTGCCAGTGTAATTGTTGATTTCACCCAAGCCACCAAAAAATTACACTTAATATCGCTAAATAATTATGTTCCATTCTAAGACTTTTAGCAGCTGGCATAATGTAATGAGAATGTCATTAGGAAACCTGATCAAATTTACTCTTTTCTTCCTTTTCATTTCTGTTTGGTGTTTTGTTCTACCTAGGAACCTCAAATTGACAGTTTTTCAGAGACTGGCTACAAACCGGACCACATTAGAGGGAATTTGGAATTCCGCAATGTTTACTTCAATTATCCATCTAGGCAAGATGTAAAGGTACTGGAAATTAAGCTCACATACATTCCAAATTAAAGATAAATTGATCATTTAGTGACAGGGAAACATCACTATAAACAAATTTTCAAAAGGTGGAGTTAGCAAAAGCCTCCCTCTTTAGCTTGTACTGCTAACTTGTGTGAAAACCACAAACTGCCTTGTCTTCGCTAGGATTTTACCTCAGGTTAGCTAACTTAAGTTAAGAAATCACTTAGTTTGCCTAGTGAAAACAGACCCAGAGTGGCTTTGCACAAAAGTTAAAGAATCTGTTGCTATTATAAACCCAATCCCATCTTCTAATAAATGTATATCAAGAAAATATATTTATTTTAGCCCAGTAAGAATGATGGTATAATGAACTCCACAAGTATCCATGGTACAAGTCTGTTAACATTTGTTTAAATACAATATATCTTCATTAGGTAATGGCAGTTTCTGTTAAATTTAATTACTTCCTTCCTATGGCATTACAGTGGAGCTCTCTTATAATTAAGCATTATTAGCTTCTATTTCCGGCCTAAAAAAGTACTAAAATTGTTTTTCAGTGTAACATGAAAATGCCCAAGTGGCAGATCTCCATATGTTCATCTCACCATAGGTTTTCAGAGCTCTCTTCATTCCCTGACAGTAGTGCTAACAGCTACAAGGACCCTTCTGTGTAGACCATGATTCCATTTCCAGTCAGGAGTAGGGCAGTACTGTAAAACTGGAAGCCAGGGTAGGGATTCTTCTTTTCCTCTTCCACCACAGAGTTTAATGGCATCTTCCCTGTTCTGCCTCTCTGGGTGAGCAGAGGAGGTAGGAAAAATTAAATCCCCATGGAATGCAGCACTTCACACCAACTTTAGCTGTGAAATGCTGCATTCAAAAGGGATTAGTACAAGAAAACCTGTTTATAGTGAAGTGAAACTCTACTAAAGTGAAGAAACTCCACTCAAAGGTCATGTCTTCATTAGGGAATCCTACAAAAAAATCATCTCTTCATTGGCGAGTATTTTTCTGTAAAGTCCCCTAGTGTTGGCATGCACGAAAGCTTTATCTACATTTGGGACATTTTCAAAGATTTGGCACCATTGTGAATACTTGTTCAGATCCACAGGTGACAGCAAAGTTGGGAGCCCAACTGTATAAGAGCTGCTGGCATTTTAAGCACTGTATTATCTAGAAATGTTCAGAACAGGTCTAATCAACATTGTACATAAGATGCTAGCATCCCATCTACATAATGGCTCCCAACTTTGCTATCACTAGTAGAGCAATATTAATAATGATAAGAAATTATTGCAAAGTTTCCCTATCATTGGTCAAGACTTTGGCCACATCTACACTACCAACTTTCATGGTCATAATTCACTATCAGTGGTACATTATGGCTATCAATTTTGCCAGTATAGACAAGTGTAAAAATTCCAATATGAATGAGTACAACTGTAGGGAATTCAAGGCAAGAAAAGAGGCTTTTGCATCACAGCAAAATAAACATATTTTGATATGTCTGCATTCACCATATATGGGTTCTACTGCAATTAGTTCACCCACCAGGTTGCATGGTAAATGCTCATAAAAAGGGTGTAGCTAATAAATGAGGATGCTACTACATAAAGACAGAATGTAGTATGTATATGTGGCAATGGTTCAGTAGAAAACACAAAGTGAGCCCTGGTGTAAATAGCAACTATATTGTGCAATGTACTCATACTGAACCAAGTTCTGCTGAAAATTTGGAAAAATTCCACTGAAGTCACTGGACTTTCTCCAGATTTATATGGTGTAAGGAAGAGCAGAAATTGACCCATTATGTTTTTGTTAATTTTTTTCATTATTATTTTCTTATGTAGGTATTGAAAGGCTTGAATCTGAAGGTTAATTGTGGCCAGACAGTAGCCTTGGTTGGTAGCAGTGGCTGTGGGAAAAGTACAACTGTTCAACTGATCCAGAGATTTTATGATCCAGAGAAGGGCATGGTAAGACATCTGAACTGAACTGAATGCTTTATACATCAGATTACTGTAATGTTTAGCAGTGGCCTCACTGCTGATGTTTAGATGGCAAAATACAAATGTCTTCCTAAATAATATAGGTAATCTTGGTTTGTATCCTTGATTGGGACACTTACATCCATGTTTTAATTTTCTTTACATTTAGATTACTGTTGATGGGCAGGATATTAAGACCCTAAATTTAAGATATCTGAGGGAGATTATTGGTGTGGTGAATCAGGAGCCTGTGCTATTCGCTACTACTATTGCAGAAAACATCCGCTATGGCCGTGAAGATGTCACTATGGAAGAGATTGAAAAAGCTGTCAAGGAAGCCAATGCCTATGACTTTATCATGAAACTGCCTGATGTAAGCAAGTCAACTCTGTTGTCAAATTCTTCTCTATTAAACATTGTAATACCAAATAGCTCCTTAAGAGGAGTTTCCATAACTCAGAAGTTAGAGTGAGCTAACTCCATAATTGCCAATTCCAACCTTCCCAGGGCTTTTTCACATCTTGCTTGAAAGATGATAGAATCAACGTAATTTTAAATCTGCAAGTCATGGTTTGATGAGTACTTTGCAGAGACGGTTTAGACCAGCAGTTCTCAGACTGTGGGTCAGGACCCAAAGTGGGTTGCAATCCTGTTTTAATGGGGTTACCAGGGTTGGCTTAGACTTGCTGGGATCCAGGGTCAAAACGTGAGCCCCACTGCGCAGGGCTGAAGCCGAAGCCAGAGAGCTTCAGCCCTGGGTGGCAGGGCTCAGCTTACAGGCCCCTTGTCTGGGGCTGAATCCCTTGGGATTCAGTTTTGACACACACACACTGTGCCTGGGGCGGCGGGACTCGGGCAGGCTCAGGCTTCAGTCCCCACTCCTGGGGTCACGTAGTAATTTTTGTTCTCAGAAGGGGGTCGCGGTGGAATGAAGTTTGAGAACCCCTGCTTTAGACTGAAAAATATCAGAATCCTGCAAACACAAAAAATAGGAAGATAAAATCATATGACCTGCTTATGATACAGTCTCCTTGGCTGTGCTTTGGTAAAAGGAAAATATTTTGTGGGCATTGCAGATTGAGCACATCTCTGTCTTTATACTGACTTTCATTGGTATTACACATTAAAATAAAGATGTCATTGAGAGATCTGAAAACCTATCTTAATACCTTTGCAGAAGTTTGAAACCATGGTTGGAGAAAGAGGGGCACAACTGAGTGGAGGTCAGAAACAGAGAATAGCTATTGCACGAGCCCTGGTTCGCAATCCCAAGATTCTTCTGCTCGATGAGGCAACTTCAGCTTTGGACACTGAAAGTGAATCAGTTGTGCAAAGAGCACTGGATAAGGTCTGTATAACTTTAAAACAAAAACTATGGTGGTTTAATCTTTAAACTTTTCAAATTTTGTGTGAGCTAAACTTTCTGAGGTAAATTTTAATTTATATATAATTTATATTTATTTGCCATTGATTTGAGGGTAAATTGAAATGCTTTTAAAATAAATACATTTAAAAACACAATTTGAAATTCCAACTCACCAGCAATATATTTAGCTAAATGGCTTCACTAAGGGTTACATTTACTTAATCATTTTGACATTTTTGAAAATTTTACCCTAATTGTTTAAGGCAGTTGGCTACATGGATCTTTGCCTATCTTGTATTCTTTGTTGTCTGTATTGTGCATGTGCCCATGTTTACAATATAGTTCATCTTATTACTCAACCAGTAGCAACCACATCCTTTCCCCATCTTTTCTCGGTCTCATTATGTGAGTATGCATATTACCTTATGGGTAAGCATGACTGTATGTACAGTACATACTTCAGAAATGAGGTTCCATTAGCCTCTACTTGGTCTTTCTGGTGTGTCTGACAAAGGGACTAGGGTAGGCTGGGAAACATCTGTCTAGCTGATGATTTGGACCGGATATATGTACACCCAGCCCTTTAGCAGTTGCACCATGTGCTTCTTGGCAATATTATGCAATCCAGGATTCTATCACATGCCTTTTCTGGCACATATATCAGTATGACTCCTGGTCTATCCAGACATTTGCATCTCCTCTTTGAGACACTGAAGATTTTTCAGAGAAGGATCTGCTGTTGTGTGAGGCATGGGGGAGAGAGTGTTATAATTTACCTCTGAAAGATTTGCCATGAGCCAGGCGTTCATGGAGTAAATGCCATCAGCTACAATAGAAATTGAATCCCCATCAGTCCCCTACTTGATTAAGTTGGATTGAGGGGTGTTTGACAGGATAAGAATTATGTGATTCCCCTAAATTGCTAGCGCAATAATCATGCTCTTGATATTCATCATGTGCCTCTATGAGTCAGGATACCTCCCAGTGTTGCTCCTGGAGCAACATAGCTCTACTCCACCCCACCAATGCAGGGCTGTGCCTTAGAGGCAAAATTGAGCCCTTTTGAAATTTATAATTTTATCCAAATTCCCCAATATTCACAAAGTGACTCTGCTCCCTGAAGCCTTTTCCCACCGTGCACTGTCAGGAACCTCTCTTCCAGCTCGTAACTCCTCCTAGAAGTGATTGGGTTGATGGAAGCATGTTGTTTGGAGAGCATTCGTTTGTCCAAACTGTGAATCTGGATCCCCACAAATCTTAACAGAGGGCCTTCCGTCAGTGTATCTGATTGTACATTTTTTGATGATATTTCATACAGGCTGCTCTGGGGCCAGAAGCCTGGGCTTCCAGGGTCCTTGGCTCCTGTCTGGGCAATCCTGCCATGGGAGGGCTTCCATGCTCCCTGCCATGGAGTTGGGAGCTCGGCAGTCCAAAAATCTGGAATCTGGAAATCTTTTGGGGTCTCAGACTTCTACTCTCACTGTCATGGAATTGGGAGCCTACAGGTCCTAGAACTCTGGGGCAGCCCTGCCATGCAGACTGCCTGGGGACCGCTGAGGTTTACAGACCCCTCAGCTAGCATATTGCCCAACTCCAGACTCAGGTCTAAAGAAGGGGGACTCCTCCTTCCGGTCCCCCTCAAAGATCTGCTCAGTTTATAGTTTCTGCTTTTGCAGAGAGAACATTCTGGCTCTTTTATACTTATACTTAATTTTCTTCTGTTAGGGTTTGCTTCTAACTTACATGAGTCTTCTTAGATAGCTTGAAATTGTCAAGTTATCAGTGTCATATTATTTTTTCATAAAATACTAACTCCTCCAATCCTTAATTTGTGGTTGGGAGTGGATTTCAACATCAGAGCAACAGTATTCTCTTCACATACAGCTAAAACAAGCTATTCCTAGATTGGGAGTAACAGATTGTTTCAATCCTTAAAATTATGTAACAATATTAAATTTTCAGATCTAGGTGCTGTTCTTCCCAGAACAGACCACATGTTACTATTGGCATCTTCAGTGTCTCTTCAGAAAGGAACTTAATAAACAGTCAAACTGGAAGTATATTGGTGTTCAGTGAAGAATTTAAACTGAATAGCTTGGAGCCTCTAGCTGGACTATAAGATGCTTGTATCAGTTTATTCCAGAATTTAGTGTTAAAATTGACATTTAAAACCTTCTCTCATCTGATTTTTAAACTAGCTAACTCAGGCATTTGACAGATAATTTGTGAGAATAAGACAACTCCAAAATCAGGTGGGTAAAGGAAGTAACTTTATAGAGAAAATTTTAGAGAATTACAGGTGTAGCTTTTACTTAGCTTGAGTAAGGGTTGCAAAATCAGGGCTTTAGAATTCATTTAGTTAATGTTTGTAAAGTGCTTTGAAGTAGAACTGTAGGAAAATGCAGGTTTTCCTTTCCCTGGAAACCTCAACATTTCAAAATTACTTTCTGTTTTGAATTGGAACAAAAAGTTGAAACATAAAAATTCCAACATGTTTTGAATTGGCAATGTTGATACAGAAAGTTTAGATATTTTTGATCAAAAAGGAATATTTTGAAATATTGAAACAAGATTGTTTCTTATCTACATTTGAAATAAAATAATAAATTTTGAAATGCTTAAATTGCTTTTTGTATCAGTTCACCTATTCAGAAAATTGAAATTTGACAAAGCCATAATTTACAATGGGAAAATTTCAGTCAAAATATTTCAACTGGCTCTACACTGAAGATGAAAAATCTATATGTACATGTAGTCATTAAATCTACTTTTGTGCCATTTCTAGGCTAGAGAAGGCCGCACCACCATTGTAATAGCTCATCGTTTGTCTACAGTCCGAAATGCAGATCTTATAGCTGCATTTGAAGATGGAGTCATCACAGAACAAGGGACCCATCATGAACTGATGAAAACAAACGGAATTTACTGCAAACTTGTTAACATGCAGGTAATTTTCCTGTAACCTGTCTTCTAAGTATCATCATGTTCTGTGTTGCTGATTTTATATTTGATTTTATCAATCAGAGCCCCAACCTCACAACATTTTGTCAACAATGAAACTGTAGAGGAAAGAGTAGGAAGTGTTGCTTGAGACAGAAGAGCATTAAATTGCAGAACTGGGAAAGCTCAAAAAAAATATGCACAGGATCAGTGCAAATAAATGGAAATGAGTAAGGGAATTTTGAGGCCAAAAGTCCTAAGAATATTGGATTAGAGATAACAAAAATTAAATGAGGAAAAGTAAAGACAAATTATATCCAGTTCTAGCTCTGAAAAATACTCTGAATCCTTAGCCATCTATTGAACTTACCCATGCCTCTGGTGAATCTGGTTCCAGAAATTTCTTTTAAATCTGGTCCATCTTCATCATCCTCTTTATCTCTTAAGTCCAGAATTTTCACAGAGTTCTGCACTAGTTTGGAGATTTTGCTTCCCCTCTTCAGTATTTGGAAGTATGCTCACTGAGAACTCACTTCTGCCAACTTTACTCACAATGAGCCTGATTCTCATTTACATTAAGGCTCTTCTACACCACTCTGACAATGGAAATGGTCTTAATATGGGTGTAACTGGTTTACACCCATTTAAAAGTCTCCTTTATATTACAGGCTTTGTCTACACTACCTCGCTTTTAGCGACACCGCTGTGCCGCTACAGCCGTGCTGCTAAAAGGTGCTCAATGTAGCTGCTGTTTGTCAGCAGGAGAAAGTTCTCCTGCCGACAAAAAACTTCCTGCCAACAAAGCGCTGTTCACACTGATGCTTTTCGTCAGTAAAACTTTTGTCATTCAGCGTGTGTGTTTTTTTAAACACACCTGAATGACAAAAGTTTTCCAACAAAGTTCCAATGTAGACAAAGCCTAAGAGAACAATGTAATGGAACTCAATGCAAACAAGAAACAAGCTCAATAAACAGCACTTTATTCAACAAATTGTCTTATTTTATTCTTGAGGGGTTAGATTCTACTCAGCATGAGTAAGAATGGCAGAACCAGGCTATGAACCCAGAGAGGATCTTCAGAAATACAGTTAATCTGTTTTATAACCACTAGAGTACCATATATCATTCAGACCTGATAATTATTCCATTTAGTTAGTAGTGGTTTTGGCTATTCTTGAGTTTAATCATTTGGAAGTTCAAGATATTATATTAATAAATTATTTTCTTAGCATGCTATTGTACCCCATTTCAGACAATAGGAACTGAAGTTCAGTCAGAAGAAGAAGCTGAAAACACCACCAAAGTGGCACTGAAAGAATCAATAGGAAATGGCTTGAGAAGGAGATCGACTCGAAAAAGCATCAAAAAGTCAGAAATACAGGATGATAGCCTTGATGTGAAAACTGTTCAACCTGTATGTGTCTTTGCTGGAAATATTTTTTTTTATTATGCTGCATCTAGTATCCTTTGTTTCCTTAGTGGGACAGTAATACTCAGATAAAAGTGATTGTCTCACCTAATGCATAAGAAAATGCCAAGTTTGAAGAGAGCTCACTCAGTCTGGGATAGGAGAAGAGGGAGGCTCTTGCTTAAGGGAAAATAACAATAAATGTTAATATAATGTGCAAACATGGCATACAAAGAGTGGATCAAAATCTGATAATATGATAAAAACAAATAAGGATGCTTGTTAACGAGTTAGTCTATAGAAGTACTGAGAGATCTGAGTGGATGTGGGGGGCAAAATATTTGGAACAAGTATGTAAATTCTGAATCACATTTTGATCTGGTCATATTCATAACCTCTTTGGCTTTGCTAAACATGAACATTCATACAACAAACTGAGGCTTTGGTTTGTTTAAAAGTTTATGGAAAAAATTTAGGTCTATAGCTCATGAAAAGAAATTGGCTAAATTATGAAACAGAATTACATGAAGCAGTCTATATAGGTTATATCAAATAGTCATGGAGCAGAAACAAAACCATGTAATCATTCACACAGTTCACCTAATAAATTCTGAATATCATATAATTGAATTCATACTTGCTACAAACACTTTGCGATCTGTAGGCTGACTTGTTTGCATAACAAACATTAGTAAAAATGATGATCTAATTGTGGATAATAAAAACAAATTGTTCATAATGAATAATCCAGTCAGATCCACCTAATACCATCAAATGCACTGGCAAAAACAAATAAAGTGGTCCTAACCCTGCACCTTTTATCTGTGCAACCTCGCTGAAGACAATAGGAATTTTGTGTGTAAGCCCTGCAGGATAAGTTTCAAAATGTGATTGTCAGAATTAATATACACTTGTTCTAATAACACATTTATCTTTTTCTGTCTCTTATTTCAGGTATTAATATTGTGTACCGAGTAACAGACAGAATTACTGCATATAATTCATGAGTTGTGTTATTAAAAAGCAAATAGTTTTGGGTACCCAGGAATAGAAGCTGGGAGTATGTAATTGACTATTCACATGCCTTCTTCCTCACACCCCTGATGTGTTACATAATTGTTCTAATGAGATTCATATATTCTAGGATGAAAATGTGCCTCCAGTTTCATTTCTGAAAGTTATGAAGATGAACAAAACAGAATGGCCTTACTTTGTAGTTGGAACTTTTTCTGCAATTATCAATGGAGCTTTACAACCTGCATTTGCAATAATATTTTCAGAAATTATAGGGGTAAGTTCATACAAAATATACAATAAACTATCACCCACTTTTAACTTTGACTTTGAGTCCCACCTACACTTAAGTTTCCATCTATCTTAAATAATTAAAAAAAAAAACAAGAGAAAAATGCAGAAAATACATGCCACGTAAGCAGAACTATATTTAAAAACTAGGTTCATAGTTTTCAATAAGGTACCTGTGGGGCTTGAAAGGATACTGCTAAGGTATTGTTCAGAATTTAACTCATTTTGTTAATTCGCTGTTGAGTTTAATAAATGCCTGGAAACTTAACATAGAAATCTATTTTATAAAAAGTTGTGTCTAAGCCACAAATGCATGTCTGGTGAAAGTCATCACTGTGCAAAGTGCCCAAACAAGGTTTATGGACCATTTAAGCCCTGTTTCTTTCTTTCTTGGTCATTATTAACATAGAAGAACTGAAAAAAAAAACATTCAAATGACAGACGTTTATCCTTATGAACATTATCTTAATAAATTCACATGTCCACACAAGTTTAATAAATTGTATTCATAACAGTTTCCACATTTCTCCCCTACCAGTTTCACCTTTAAGCTATAAAGAATCAAGGGGGTCTCAGACAGTGACAAAAAGAATATTATGCTAATGAGTTAAGTGGTGCCCGGACCTTGTGCAGCTGTCACTTTCACCCATTGTTTGTTAATGGAGGGTTGCTGATTCTGAGTGGTTATTTTGGAAAGTAGAGGTGAATAATTAGTTTGGAAGAAATCTAAAGAATTAGATGAAATTTGCAAACATCTAAGAAAAAAATCTTGGTCCAACATCAAATTTACTTGTTATCCCTTTAATCACGTTTAATACATATATTTAGATTGTACATGGGTATGCAGGGGCGTTGGAACAATATTTATAATGGGAGGTGCTGAAAGCAGAAACCCTATATTTGGTTGTTATTACTACTTCAAGTCAGAGGGTGCTGTCACACCCCCAGTACTCCTAGTTCAAGCCCTCTATGGGTATGTGTAAATACAGCAATGTAATATGGGAAGATTTGTACGTAATTTAATTAAATAAAATGAACTTTGAATTCTCTTTAATAGGTTTTTGCAGATCCAGACAAGACAGTTGTAAGAAACAAGTCCAACTTGTATTCACTGCTATTTTTAGCACTTGGGATCATTTCTTTGGTTACTTTTTTCCTTCAGGTAGGTTTTATTATTTTGCCCTTAATATAATTGTTCACCTTATTTTAAAAACTAGATATAAGGATATTAAGCATTCAATGTATTTGAATCACATAATAAGGGAGAAAAATAATTGATAGTACACTTTTAGTACCAAGTGGACTTAAAGAGCATATGGAGAAGGTTATATTGTGCACTTAATTTAAGACTATATAGAAATAAATTCCTCAGATATTAATCTAACAAAATTACATTACAATACTTTTTTTTCCACCACAGGATGCTTCCCTCATTGTAATGAGTTTAAACTCTTTTGGCCACATTTTCAAAAATAGTCTCTAAACTTCCACATGCAAAATTGTGCACACACCCATTTTCCCACATGCAGAATCACATATTTTTGTCTGGAAACTGTCATGTTCATGTACAAGTCAGACAACCGTGTGTGTGTGTGTACCTGATTTGCACAAACATCTTTATTCAGGTGCAACATAGACTTCCATCACTGCTACCAGCTTTGTCAAATCACTTGTCCACTTCCACACATCCACCATTGCACCTTCTTCCAGGCTGCACCTTACACATGCAGTGCCTTTTCTAAAAGGATCTGCACGGCCTCTACTCCCTTTTTTTCAAATCCAATCTCAAGTCTCACTCTTCTGTGACACCTGCAAGGAAGGAGAGGTTGGGGGTGGCCTTTGTAAGAGGGTGCAGCTGGGCCCCACTGGCTTAAGAACATAAGAACATAAGAACGGCCGTACTGGGGCACACCAAAGGTCCATCTAGCCCAGTATCCTGTCTACCAACAGTGGCCAATGCCAGGTGCCCCAGAGGGAGTGAACCTAACAGGTAATGATCAAGTGATCTCTCTCCTGCCATCCATCTCCACCTTCTGACAAACAGAGTCTAGGGACACCATTCCTTACCCATCCTGGCTAATAGACATTAATGGACTTAACCTCCATGAATTTATCCATTTCTCTTTTAAACACTGTTATAGTCCTAGCCTTCACAACCTCCTCAGGTAAGGAGTTCCACAAGTTGACTGTGCGCTGTGTGAAGAAGAACTTCCTTTTATTTGTTTTAAACCTGCTGCCTATTAGTTTCATTTGGTGACCCCTAGTTCTTGTATTATGGGAATAAGTAAATAACTTTTCCTTATCTACTTTCTCCACATCACTCATAATTTTACATACCTCTATCACAGGGGTCGGCAACCTTTCAGAAGTGGTGTGCCGAGTCTTCATTTATTCACTCTAATTTAAGGTTTCGCGTGCCGGTAATACATTTTAACGTTTTTAGAAGGTCTCTTTCTATAAGTCTTTAATATATAACTAAACTATTGTTGTATGTAAAGTAAATAAGGTTTTTAAAATGTTTAAGAAGCTTCATTTAAAATTAAATTAAAATGCAGAGCCCCCCGGACCAGTGTCCAGGACCCAGGCAGAGTGAGTGCCACTGAAAATAAGCTCGTGTGCCGCCTTCGGCACGTGTGTCATAGGTTGCCTACCCCTGCTCTATCATATCCCCGCTTAGACTCCTCTTTTCAAGATGAAAAGTCCTAGCCTCTTTAATCTCTCCTCATATGGGATCCTCTCCAAACCCCTAATCATTTTAGTTGCCCTTCTCTGAACCTTTTCTAGTGCCAGTATATCTTTTTTGAGATGAGGAGACCACATCTGTACGCAGTATTCAAGATGTGGGCGTACCATCGATTTATATAAGGGCAATAATATATTCTCAGTCTTATTCTCTATCCCCTTTTTAATGATTCCTAACATCCTGTTTGCTTTTTTGACCGCCTCTGCACACTGCGTGGACATCTTCAGAGAATTATCCACGATGACTCCAAGATCTTTTTCCTGATTTGTTGTAGCTAAATTAGCCCCCATCATATTGTATGTACAGTTGGGGTTATTTTTTCCAATGTGCATTACTTTACATTTATCCACATTAAATTTCATTTGCCATTTTGTTGCCCAATCACTTAGTTTTGTGAGATCTTTTTGAAGTTCTTCACAGTCTGCTTTGGTCTTAACTATCTTGAGCAGTTTAGTATCATCTGCAAACTTTGCCACCTCACTTTTTACCCCTTTCTCCGGATCATTTATGAATAAGTTGAATAGGATTGGTCTTAGGACTGACCCTTGGGGAACTCCACTAATTTACCCCTCTCCATTCTGAGAATTTACCATTAATTCCTACCCTTTGTTCCCTGTCTTTTAACCAGTTCTCAATCCATGAAAGGACCTTCCCTTTTATCCCATGACAACTTAATTTACGTAAGAGCCTTTGGTGAGGGACCTTGTCAAAGGCTTTCTGGAAATCTAAGTACACTATGTCCACTGGATCCCCCTTGTCCACATGTTTGCTGACTCCTTCAAAGAACTCTAATAGATTAGGAAAACACGATTTCCCTTTAGAGAAACCATGTTGACTTTTACCCAACAATTTATGTTTTTCTATGTGTCTGACAATTTTATTCTTTACTATTGTTTCGACTAATTTGCCCGGTACCGACGTTAGACTTACCGGTCTGTAATTGCCGGGATCACCTCTAGAGCTCTTTTTAAATATTGGCGTTACATTAGCTATCTTCCAGTCATTGGGTACAGAAGCCGATTTAAAGGACAGGTTACAAACCCTAGTTAATAGTTCCGCAATTTCACATTTGAGTTCTTTCAGAACTCTTGGGTGAATGCCATCTGGTCCCGGTGACTTGTTAATGTTAAGTTTATCAATTAATTCCAAAACCTGCTCTTGTGACATTTCAATCTGACAGTTCCTCAGATTTGTCACCTACAAAAGCCGGCTCAGGTTTGGGAATCTCCCTAACATCCTCAGCCATGAAGACTGAAGCAAAGAATTCGTTTAGTTTCTCCGTGATGACTTTATCTTCTTTAAGCGCTCCTTTTCTATCTCTATCATCGAGGGGCCCCACTGGTTGTCTAGCAGACTTCCTGCTTCTGATGTACTTAAAAAACATTTTGTTATTACTTTTTGAGTTTTTGGCTAGCCGTTCTTCAAACTCCTCTTTGGCTTTTCTTATTACATTTTTACACTTAATTTGGCAGTGTTTATGCTCCTTTCTATTTACCTCGCTAGGATTTGACTTCCACTTTTTAAAGGAAGTCTTTTTATCTCTTACTGCTTCTTTTACATGGCTCTTTTTTAGTTTTTTTACCGTGTTTCTTAATTTGGGGTATACATTTAAGTTGGGCCTCTATTATGGTGTCTTTAAAAAGCGCCCATGTAGCTTGCAGGGATTTCACTTTAGTCACTGTACCTTTTAATTTCTGTTTAACTAACCCTCTCATTTTTGCATAGTTCCCCTTTTTGAAATTAAATGCCACAGTGTTGGGCTGTTGAGATGTTCTTCCCACGACAGGGATGTTAAATGTTATTATATTATGGTCAGTATTTCCAACTGGTCCTGTTATTATTACCTCTTGGACCAGCTCCTGCGCTCCCCTCAGGACTAAATCTAGAGTTGCCTCTCCCCTTGTGGGTTCCCGTACCAGCTGCTCCAAGAAGCAGTCATTTAAAGTATCGAGAAATTTTGTCTCTGCATTTTGTCCTGAGGTGACATGTTCCCAGTCAATATGGGGATAATTGAAATCCCCCTACATTTTCAAAACATGATGCTAAAGTTTCACCTACAAAGTATCTGCACACATCTTAACACGTATATGTTTATAAAACATGTATTTGCATGCACAAGCAGGTATCTGTTGGTACAATTGCCCATTTTGTTTATAAAAATGTCTCTTTATATATGGATGCAGCATAGAGCCCGAGTCTTGAAAATTTAACTGTATGTGTGTGTATATATAATAGGTTTGACCTGCAATAGAAGTTATTATTTTTATAAATTTGGGGATGATGTTATAAATTAAACATATGAAGGGTAGAAGTGTATTGTGATATGGCACTCCCAAACTAGTGAGAAGAAATTAATACAAAGATGTATCCATTTCATAAGATGTTTATACAGTATGCATGCTAAGATATACATTTAAATGTGTCCAGTTACTTTTTTTTAAAGTCACATAATTGTGGTAATTTTTTGACTTCATTACTGTATAATTTCCAACAATTAAAACTAGAAAAATAAATTTGTTCACTATAAAAGTGCCATAGTAATTTTGCTTTATATCCAGGGCCGGCTCCAGGCACCAGCTTAACAAGCAGGTGCTTGGGGCGGCCAAGGGAGAGGGACGGCACGTGCGGCAATTCTGGGGCGGCAGGTCCCTCACTCCCTCTGGGAGTGAGGGACCTGCCACTGAACTGCTGCCGCCGATCACGGCTTTTTTTTTTTTGCTTGGGGCGGCAGAAATGCTGGAGCCGGCTCTGTTTATATCATATAGAGGAACTGATATATAGTTGTGTCCAGGTTTTATATTGAAATATTATAAAATTTCTCCGCTGTAGAAATGTTTTCAGTAGATTCTGAGAACAAATATTTGCAGTAGATGTGTAGAGCTGTTTCCCGGCTGCAGTTGTAGAAAGTGTGGTAATAAGCAAAAATATGACAATAATGCTACTGACAAAAGTTAATGTCATGACAGAAAAAGTGGCAATAACATGTTTCCCCATCATTTTCATTGTCATGGTCCTATTTATCACCTACTTCCTATGACATTACACTGATTCATGCTTGTGACTAAAAATAAGTTTAGCTGATTACCAAGCGCTGAAGCACTGTTGATGTGTTAGGACTAGATGGCTTAAGTGACTTGTAATGGGAGCACTGAGAGTGAAATCCTGACTCCACTGAAGTTGATGGGAACTTTGACATTGACTTCAATGGGCCAGGATTTCACTCTGAGCCTTTTACCTTGAAGTCACTGACCCATGTAGTTGTGATAGAAAATTGGTCCCTGAAGCACATTAGTGGAGCAATGTAGGAAAATGTGCCTTTGCTTTACACTTTTTATTTAGAAATGAAGGACTTCAATCCCTGTGCTCTAAATCTGCTATCCCTCACAAGTAGTAACTGTCTTTTCAAAGTTTTTTAAATTGTTTATAGCTAAAATATTGTGTAATCTATACAATGTTTTTGCCTTTGTAGATACAGATATTTGTGTGCTTATCTGATAACGTCAAAATAGTTGTAATTATGTAATAACCATTCTGTTTCTTCTCAAAGGGTTTCACGTTTGGCAAAGCTGGAGAGATCCTTACAATGAGGCTTCGATTCATGGCATTTAAAGCAATGCTTAGACAGGTAAAATTAATATGTATTTAGCTTTCCAGAGTTTTATATATCCTTGTTTGTTTAGGTGTTTAAAATACCTTAAAGTTTCAAGTCATACTCCATACACTCCTCTTATAATCCAAATTGAATTCAATTATCTTTTGCAGCCCTAATTTTTCATTTGTTTTATTTTGTGGTTTATGGAAAGTAAACTATAGTTTTTCAGATCCTAGTAAACATGTTTCATGTCATTCTGTAGGACATCAGCTGGTTTGATGACCCTAAAAACAGCACTGGAGCATTAACTACAAGACTTGCTAATGATGCCTCACAAGTGAAAGGAGTATGTAATATATATTCTTTTATCAGGGGGTAGCTATGCATCCGAAGAAGTGAGGTTTTTACTCACGAAAGCTTATGCCCAAATAAATCTGTTAGTCTTTAAGGTGCCACCAGACTCCTTGTTGTTTTTATATATTCTTTTGGCATTTTTCATATTTGGGTTGTCATATAGTAATGTTGCACTATGGATTTTATTTGCTTTATGGCAATCCTAATTTTGGTGACAATTGAAAACTATTATTTATTGAAAGGTTTTGGATGTCACACCAATGTATTTTATAATGATAGAGAACATGATATATATTTACAATATAATATTCTAGTGAACTATTAGTGCTTATAGTCTTATTACTGTTCAGTGCTGTTATCTCGCCTATGAATCCAATTAACTATGAATTTATTTATTCGGGGAGTCTGTTCAAAGTTATCAGTCTAATCTCATTAGGTATGTATGTAGCACCTATGACCACAGTATCTAAGGTTCCAAGCCAGCAAAACATTTAAGGTTGTGCTTGACTTTAAGGATTTTAGTAGTCAGTAATTTCAGTGGGCCTACTCACACACTTAAAAGTTAAGCACATATTTAAGTGTTTTGCTGTACTGGGATCTAAGTGATGAAAAAATAGTTAGTTCAAACCCCCCCTCCATCAGTTAGGCAATCGCATATTCCGACATGTTCCTGGCAGATTTGAAGTTATAGTTGTAAATGCAAAAATATGAGTTTTATAAACTCCCTGTTCAGCTTTTTTAGTGGAGTCTATAAATTACTATTTAGAATCTGAAGTGATCATATGGAAACTAGAGAGAGAGATGGATCATCAGCAGAAGAAGGTGATCTAGATGATGGAGTGAGCTTCCAAAGGATATGCAGAAACTCCAACTTTGGAGACATGTAGAACTAAACTAGATAATACTCTGGGGAATAATCCTGGTTTCTAGAGATGGTCTAGTTCAAAAGTATTTTTCATGTCTAATTTCTATGTTATTGCTTTATGCAAAATTATGGAATACAGTTGTTTTATTTGGGTTTTGTTGTTCCAGGCTACAGGTGCCAGACTGGCTTTAATTACCCAAAACATAGCTAACCTTGGAACTGGAATTATTATATCATTGGTCTATGGCTGGCAGCTGACTCTTTTGATTTTAGCTGTTGTGCCAGTCATTGCCATAGCAGGAATAGTTGAAATGAAAATGTTATCTGGACATGCAAAAAAGGATAAAGAAGAACTGGAAGTTGCAGGAAAGGTGGGTTCCAGTGAAGTTCATCTCTCTTTTTATATTCTACTGTACAGTCATGTTCAACAGGGCTTAGTAATGGATCAAGAATATATTCTTTCTTAGGGAAGTTGAACTCTGCATTGTTGTATTCTATTCTTTTTATATGTTGATGTATCTGCTAGATATGGAGCTCAAAACTGAAAACATCTACTATTAATTGATATTATTTACATTGTGGTAACACCTAGAATATGCTAAGCTCTTAGGATCACATACCTCTTCTTTCTTTTCTTTATTTTTTGTCCTTCCCTTCTTTCTTTTCTAGCATCTTTTGCTTTTTTGGTTTCATCTCTCTTCAGCTTGGCACACATCTCCCCTTTCTTCCATAATACCTCTGTCTGTGTGAAACTGTATGTACATCTTCACCAACGAAGAAGCAAGAATGCATGATAGTGACAGTGTAATTAATACCACGCACAAGTTCCTTTTTTCATTCTTTCCTTTCCTGGGTGGAAAAGGAAAATAAAAATTGAAGAAACGGTTGAAAAAATTTTTTGAAAGGAAAAGTTGAAAGAGGTGGGAGTCACTTCATTCCAAAACTCCTTTAGGAACAGGGCATCCATTCTATCACTTCTCTGTTCTTAACCTCTTACAAGTTTGAGGATCCTAACTTTGCACCCAAAGGATAGCTCTCTGGGTATGCCTACACTTTAAATTTGGGATGTGATTCCCAGCTTGAGGAAACATATTTGCACTAGCTCTGATTGAGCTAGCATGCTAAAAATAGAGTGTAGCCATGGCAGTATGAGCAGTGGGAGGGGTTAGCCATCCCGAATGCATGCCAAGTGTCTGTGACAGGCATGCAGTTGGGGCAGCTAGCCCCTCCTGCTGCTGACACTGCTGTGGCTACACTCTATTTTTAGTGTGTTAGCTCAATCAGAGCTAGCATTAGTATGTTTCCTTGAGCTGCTCAAAGTGTAGAAATACCCTTTGTGAGCACTTCTGTCAGTGTCAACATGTATCTTAGCATGTTTCATAGCCTGGCTATGTCCTGCCTCTTCTATGCTCCCCTTCCTACCATCCTACTGTGATCACACAGAGTTGAAAAGGAGATGACTTCAGCTAAAGGCTCTGGATATAAGAAGTCTTGTTCATAGTTTCTCTCTTTCCTTGCTTCATGTCATATTTATAGGAAAGCTGCTCAGAGTGGGTTTCTTTCCTTCCAAGCCAACCAGAAAATGTTCTTATGGGTTCTCCAAAGTTACCTGTAGGCTTTTTCACATAAACAAAAAGATAAATCTCCTTTTACTTTCAATGACAGGATTTTTGTCGTACATTTCTCTAAAGTGGTTTCTCGACAAGGTCAGATAGCCAAACAGTTAATATTTCCTGGAATATTGTTAATATTGTTTCCTGAAACTTGTTAAGGGTATTCATCTGTTAACCCTTCCTCCAGAGACATTTTAAAAAATAGCTGAGAGGATTCAAGTCATCCCTGCTACCTATCTTATATTTACAAGAAATAATAATACTTTGCACTTCTATAGCAACTTCCTTCTGAGGCTTTACAAGAACTTTACAAACTAACACGTTATGTCTCACAGTACTTCTTCGAGGTAAGTAACTATCACCATTGTACAGGAAAGGAAACTGGCAGAGAACTGAGGTGACTTACCCAATGTCACAAAAGTGACTGGTAGAGCTAGCGACAAAACATAGTTCACGTGAACCCCAAGCCTATGTTTTAACCATTAATTTTTTAGCCATATGTGGCTTTCACTTACATTTTTCCTTGTTCACAAGAGAGTTGTTCTTGCAGCCAGTAGACAAATCTGTTACATTATTTTCTACCTTGTGCATTGTCAAAAGAATTGTTAAAGGCCGCCGGGGGGGGGGGCAAGTGGGGCAATTTGCCCCAGGCCCCGCAGGGGTCCCCCACGAGAATATAGTATTCCATAGTATTTTTTATGGAAGGGGCCCCCGAAATTGCTTCGCCCCAGGCCCATTGAATCCTCTGGGATTTGTTAGCTAAGTTCTAATTGGAGATTCTTGACCTTGAGGCATAAAAAGGTGTGTATTTCAACTGCACCTTTGCTACAACTACAATGCACCTCAGCTGAGTCCAGGTTACTGGTGATAATGTGTAACGCCAATGGACTCCAGTCATTGTCAGCTGGGATCAAACCTGAGACATTTAGTGCTTAATGCATGAGTCTCTACTGCATACGCTAAAAGACACATCTATCTTAGCCAAAGCTGTAGCAGTCTGATCAATCTCTAGCTGGTCTAGCTGCCACCAGAGGGGCACAAAGTGCCACACCAAGCAGGCATGGATTACATCCTTCCCCTAGCTGAAGAAGTGTGTCACGAGCTTCAGAGACTTCCCAGTTGATATCCCAAATGAACCACCACTTGTAACACCACTCCACTGGCCACTCCGCTCAGGATGTCTTGAGGTCCCATCTAACACATCTTTCAGTGATTTCAGCTCTCAGTGATTTCAGCTGTTGGTAGGGGAGCCTCACTGCTAGTGCAGGCTGGGCAGTTTCTCTCATCAGAGACTGTCCCATAGCAGATCTAATGCTTAGACCTGGTTTTCAGTGATTTCAGCTCTATTGATCTGCAACAAAAGACTCTCAATTGAGTCTTAATCAGCTCTGTCATTACACAATGAAGAGGTGGGGGGGTCAAATGGTGTCTAGGACCCTTAGGCAGAGCCCACACCACTATGTACAAAAACCTGACCACACCCTCTCTCATCTCTACCAGACTTTGACACCCCCGGCTTATCAAGTGCAGTTCATTTGAGGATGAACCCCTCAATCAGGGCATGCCAAGCACAGTTCTGCTGCCCTTGATTCACACAACAAGGATAACAAACCTTTATTACCCCTGCACCCAATAACAAAGTGACTTGCAATTCAACACCCGCCAAAAGTGGTCATTTGTGCAAAGCAGCTCCATCCTGCTGCTCACCTACACAAGTGCTGGAGGAACC